TGGAAAGTTTCGTAGTTGTATCAGGTCTAAACTGGGGCAGGTTTCCCAAGTGAGGACTGTGTGTCCTGAGTACGAGCGGTAAAGAGCTGGTATTTTCTAGAGCTTCCACTCTTGCTCTCCCTTTCTCAGCATGGAGGTCGGGGGAGGTGGTACCTTTGTGCTGCTGGGATTAGGGATCTTAATGATCTTCTCAGCTCTTTCAAGTCCCCTTATACCCAAATACCAACATGTGCTTTCTCAGCCTGATGTGCACCTTGCATTTTGATTAGGAGAATTCAGTTGTGTTGAACCACTTGGGAGTACGTTGGAGGGATTTTGGCACTTGGGATGCATAAGGTTGTTATTACACAGCAGACTATGGACAGAAGCAAGCCTTCTTGATGTGGCTGTTTGTCTTTCCCAGCTTCCTCTATCCTGCCTCTGAGACCCTGCCTCCTTTCCCCTCCTTGCAAGGATGTGGTTCTGCTGATGTGCTTCTGTAAGGCCTTGCAGGGCACCTTGCCGCTCGCTGCTGAGCTGGGCACTTTCCTGACACACTGCTTCCTAGGCATCCCTTATGCTAGATCTGTTTCTTGCCAACAGAACTGGATGCAGCTGTGCTGGAGTAGAGGCACCTGACCACTGCACTGGGGCGAATCCTGGGGTGTGGGTGTTGTGCTGTGCCATGGTAGCAGGAGTGGGATGATGTGATGGATTGGGAGCCTCCTCGTCACACCTTGTAACTCTATACCTGGTGTAAAGACCAGAACACAGTAGAAAAGCTGGTGTATTAGACTTTGCTACTGAATTGCAGCATGAAAATTCAGTTTTAAGGCCCTTTCACAGATTAGCTGGAGCTGTGTGAATGTAGTGCTCATTTTAGCCTGTGTTCCTTCTTCCTCTTAGCTGCTTATATGGCTAAGGGGACTACAGGGAGCAGCTCAAACACTTGTTCTTGTATTAGGATGCTACAGTTCTGTACTGTAAGGCCTCTGTAGAACAACTTCTGAGACACCCTGTGAGAGCATGTTGGTTGTCTCCATGTAGTTTGGTGCCCAGCATACATAACTGGGGCCTTTTCCATGCACGTAGGTTGCAGCATTTCAGTTAGTAAATGTAAAGGGAAGGGTGAAAAATTCTTCAGTGGAAGATGGAAGTAACGTACTCACAGCTGGGCACTAAAACAGCAGGCTGGGGGGGTATGCTTAAATGCTTGGGTGCCACTTTGAGCTTGGTTCAGAGATGAAGAGTCCTAAGGAGGACACCTATAAGTATTAGAGGCACTTAGTGATCTAGTTTCTAGCATGTTTTCCTTATAACTTCATAATATGGAAGACGTTTCTATTTTACAGTTGCATAGCACCTTGTACAGTAGCATCATCTGTGCTACCAGGCTCTAGCACGGTCAAAAAAATTAATAACTGTTCTGTCTTTTGGAAGTCGTCTTATGCAATTTAATAGCACAGCAGTATAATGAAATCTTTACAGGAAAGTGATGAGAGTGAGTGGTTTTGTGTGTGAATTACAGGGTCTGTGAGTGGGCGAGACACTAGCTACTTGTTTTATTGCTGACAATATACTTATTTTCATGTTTATTCCTGGATTACAATGTGTGAATAGCAGCCCAGTAAACAGTCAGGCAAATAGTTATTTATCAAGTATTTAAAAATGAAAGGTCTTGTAATTTTCCTTAGTAATGACTGTGATTTCTTCCAGCTGGATTAATGGCTCCCATTTCTCCCCATGAAGAACAAGAAGTGTTTTGGTTTCTACATGGAGAGCTATTGTCTGCCATAATAATGCAGACCAGAGGATTTTTTTTTTCCTTCTGGGATCTGGGAAAGGTTGACATGTGTGTAACTTGAATTAATACCTTGTAAAGCCCTTAATATTCTTTCTTTTGTCATTCCTGTTGGAGTGGTGCAGGAGTTGCTGCTGGCACCAGCCCAGCAGCAGCCTGCCTCAGAGCTGCTTTTGTTTCAGTTTGAGGCAATCAGTGGGTCTTGTGATGGAATTGCCTTGAAAGGTCACTTTTAATTACGTTTCTGATGCATACCAGCTGGGCAGTTCTGGTGGAACAGGTTGTGTGCAGCTTTGTGGCTCTGTTGCTGCAGCAGACAACTTCAAAATACACTCTTGAGCAGCGGCTGGCAGGCCAGAGGGGGCAAAAAATCTTCAGCAGTGTTACATACTGTGCCTAGCCATTGCTGCTGGTACCCTGAGGTGGTGGAGGAAGCAAGTATCAAAGCCTAAGTAATCCGTTGGTAGCAACCTGTCTTGTGCCCCTGGATAGCAAAGTGACTTCTTTGCTGCTGAACTGACTGTCGTTGAAGGGCTGTGCCAGCCAGACCCTCCCCACACAATCATGTTGAGGGACCACAGCAGGTAGAGGTTTCTCCTTTCTCACCCTTTCTGGGATTGACCATCTTCCGGCTTCCAGAGCTGTGGCTTGTAGCGCCGGTCCAACCAACAGCATGTTAAGTCTGTTAGACTGCAGGTTGCCCAATCCCTGGAGCCATTTTTCATGTGCATCTTAGCTTCGTGCCTTCCTATACCTCAGCTGGTGGGACGGACATCATTCAGTTTTGTCTCTGGGTTGGAGGAGATGGAAGGTAGTCGTGAGGTTAGCACCAAGGGGCTCTATGTTTAGATCCTAGCTCTGCTACAGGCTTTGAAGACCTGCTGCCCATCGTGCGTGTCCAGATCCTGTAAGCTGTTTAATTGCTGGATTCCTGTAGGTTTGTGGGAGCTGAACTGAGCTGTCATCTTGTAGTGCAACAAGCAGGCATGCTTTCTGTGACTTCTGCTTCCTTTCCCAACCCCTGCCTCCTCTTGGTCCTGCACTCTTCAAGTCCCAGAAATGCACAGGGTTTAACAGTTGGGATCTAATGCAGGAGTGGGTCCTGTGGCTGTGTTGAGGCCAGCGCAGAGGGTTTGTTTTGTTTTTTTTTTTTCCAGGGCATGTGGTTACTGTGCTACGCCTCTGAAACTCCTGCGTGCTTGGGGTCTGCCTGAGGTTTCTCACGATGGCTCGCGTGCCTCCTGCGCACCAGGGGTGACAGCAGGAGGGGAGCCATGCTGGGAGCCAGTGCTGCAGAGTGCATGAGAAACAGTGCCGCTCCCCAGCTGGGCAGTGGACAGAGATGGTTCTTTGGACACTGCATTTGAAAATAAATAGGCTGTGTGATTGTATGAAGATGAACCCGGCACTCGTGGCTCGGCAGGACTCTGTGGGGAGCTCTGGCTAATCACTAGGTGAAGACACCAAGTTTATTCTGTCGCAGGAAATTCATGGATACAGAATGAGGTTGCAAAGAGTAACCTTTGGCGTATGGCTGCTGCATGATGTGACCGTCCTTGCCCAGGGCTATGACTGGGTGGTGTGTTTGGGATGCCCTAAATTGTGATGTTGCCGTAGTAAGGTTTTTGTTTCTTCCTGAACTGCTTTTCCCCTTTTCCCACCCCACTCCTTTCCAGTCTGATCAGCAAACACTTCTAAATATTCGTTAACGTGGGATTTGTCTCTATCCGCATGACTGCCACGAGTTTGAAAGGCATTTAACAATGCAGCAGGGGAAATGGAGTTAATCTCCTGCTCTGGCAGGACAAGGCTGAGCAGGAGGTGTACGGCACAGGAATTCATCCTTATTTCTGAATGTGCCTTTTCCACTGTATTTGCAGTCTGGGGGGAAGGAGGAAGAACAGTTTCTCTTCCCTAACTGCTTCTTTAGACGCTGATTCACTGTCAGGACAGGGATGTGTGCGCACTGGTTGTGTGCAAGCAGGATTTCAGGGCATCGATGCCTCGAGTCTTAACGAATAACTCCACAGCACTTTCCTCGCCAGTAACCCAGCTGGGGTTTGCAGATCCTCAGGGTTCTCCATGTCCATCAGCCAGTTTCTCCATGGGAGTTGCAGGGTCAGGTTGGTGGATAGGAGGCAAGCAGCAATTAGCCTGGCTTGTAACCAGGGCAGATCTTCTCACCGATGAGGCGTTCAGCCTCTCACCGGCACGTGCTCTAGGCTGAGGATGACCCTGCCCACCCTCGCTGGCAGCAGATGCGGCCCGAAGCCCAGACTGCAGGAGAGTGGGATGGAGGACCGTGCCTTCTGGGCTGGCCAAGCTGTGGGTCAGGCTGCTTCTGTGCCCACAGAGCTGCAGGGCCCCGGAGAGGCTCACAGGCTTGTGCTCCAAGGGAGCAAAATTGTTAGCTCGGCAAACCGGGGCAACCTCATTAAGAATTACTGAGAGTGTGAAAAGCATGTTGCTGGAGGCAGGTCGTTGTAAATGAGGGGGCTAAAGTAGCTGGGGTTTTCTAACAATTAATTACTGAGTGGTTTTCTAGAGATTCCTTCTCATGTTTGTAATTCATTCCCTGCTGTAGATGCTGTATTGATTTATAATTTTCTGAAGTTCAATATTTTGTGCCCTCAGGGCCCCAAATAAAAATTAACTAGAAAATGAGAGCAAGCTTCTGCATTCTGCCTTGTCAGAGCTTTCTCTCCTGTTCCACACCCTCGGAGCTAGTTTCTATGCTCTGGTTTGGGTCGCAGGTATTGCCAAGCCTGTGTGTCGTGAGCTGCAAGATGTGGGTGGCAGAACAGCTGTGGCAGAAGACCTGCCTCACTGACCAACAAATGAGGAAATCAAGAGCCCGGTTAAGAGCCTGGAATTGCTCCCAGTGACCTAAGCAGAGCACTTAGTAGCTGCTACTAAGACAGGTCTGTTTGAATGAATAAGCATTCCTCTTCATTTGAAGAAAAAAAAGTCCCCTGCTCCCCCAGCTCTAATTAGCGACTCTTCCTTTTTTCTGCCATGAATATAGAGGGTTTGTCCCTGGTATGAAATGTTAGGATGCATGTTCTCTTCTCCAGCTTGCAGATGATGGAGATGTAACCTCTGTGCAGGTGGTGTGGGGACTTTTGTACCTGTTTTCTGTGTTTCTTTGCAGGATCTTTGTTTTTGCTGTTTTGAATACAGCTCTTCCTTACCTTCTGGTTTGTGTCTCTTCTTCCAACAGAGTGACTAAAGAAGTGGACTCGACCTCAAAAGAAGCGAAATCTTTTTTGAAGCAGCAAGAGAAATGGCAGTCAGCAGCTCCAGCTTCCCTCCCGACAGTCTCTGGGTATGTGGTTTCTCCGCTTTGGTATGGACCCTCAGTGAGAAAGACAGCACTCGAGCTGATAATACAGGCTCTGTGGTATTTAAACTAATGGGTATTTGTTTTCTGCAGGATTTCAGTGGGAGCAAGACTAGGCCTGGAAGGGTGTGATGATTTGGGGAGGAGGGAAGCGGGGGAAGCAACACATGAGTCCTAGTGACTCACTTCGTAGGTTCAGGCTCGAATTTCTAAATCGTCATTAATCATTCATCCTAGTGAGGAAATACTGTTTTGAACATCTTGAGCAGCTTAATGAAACTGCAGGTAGCCAAGGAACATGCCTGAGATTGCCTGCAGTTCCTTTGAAAGGTGGTTCTTGGGACCATAAAAAGCCATGACAGACTGGGCTGTGGCTTCTTATAAACTCTGGGGGAGCATTTGAAGGAGAGATGCTTTTGCCTCTGATGTTCTCTAGTGACATTTTGTTGTGGATTTGTCACTTTCTATTCAAGCTCTAACACCTAATTCTGAGATTATTGTAATACTTGTCAAAGATACAAAGAGGTCAGGTCCCTTGTGCATCTGACATGCCACTCTGTGTGGCTTTTGATGAGCTTCTCGGGAATAGAGGAGATGCTTCTGTGTTCCAAAAATGATTTTTATTTAAGTTGGTCATTTGCATTTATATTTGAAAGACATAAGCCACCTATGATTTGGTCACATAAAAACAATACCCATCAAATAAATACATTGTCCTTCCCATCTGCTGAAGAGCAATTCCGTAGTGTGAGTTAAGGCTGCCTTTCCCCAAGATAGGCTGTTGTTCAGTTGCTGCAGCTGGATTGTCACTCATTTTTCCAGCTAAGTGTTGCATAGCTTGTAGTTAGATCAGGGTAGTGAAAGCATAGTGTGTGTGTGTGTGTGTGACTCTTGACAGCTGCTGTTCCCCAAGATGAATGAATGCAGAGACGAGCATAGTCTTGTTGCTGCTGTTCACGCTGCACAAGGGTTTGTCCCTGCAGAGGTCAGTAATCGTAACCTAAGTGTTGTGTACCAGGTTTTGTGCTGGAAAAACTTGCCTTGAGTTGGACTGGCATTCTTTGTTCAATCTGGGCAGCCACAGAGGGGGTTTGGGTGGCAGCTGAAGCTAGGGCAGCTCCTTGCCATGCACACTGCTGGTGGTCCCATGTCTCCAGACCTGCTTTCCAGTTCCCCCAGCAAATGCCCTGCTGCTCTGAGTGCAGACAGGTTTGGTAGCCCACGGGGAAAGCCCCACAGGCTGCTCACTTTTCTGCTCTGCTGAAATCCGTGTTTCCTTCTGTATCTTCCTGGCCCAGGGGAGGAAGTGGATGGCCAGTGGGCCTGCACAGCCCAGTCATTACCAAGGTGCACAGCTGCTTGTGCTGGAGCTCTGATCCCTCAGGAGAGATAGCCAGAGCCCAGTTTGAATTAATGCTGCAGATATCTGAAATGAAGAATCCACATCAAATATGGAAAAAATGGAATAAAAATCAATATAAGAAATAATGACTTCAAGGACTCCTTTAACTTCCCCCCAGTGTTGATTATTTTGGAAGCAGCTTAATTAGGTCATCATTCAACTTGCTGATGTGTGATGTCCTACGGACAGTTGCTCGCCCAGAATATGAAGTGGCCTGGCTGTAGGGAAGGGAGGGGAAGAATACCCTAGGCTTGTACATCTGGTCTTCCTTCAGAGCAGCAAACCCCGATGCAGTGCAGCCTCATGTGCCTTCCCTTTTGCAGCCTGCTTCAGAATATACTGGTTTTGTGCAGTGATACTACAGCAGCAATGTTTTTGATCAATGTATGCCACAGCCCAGCGCTCTTGAGAGTTTAGCAGGAGGCTGCCTGGGGCAGCCTGGCCAGCGTATGCCCTCTGGTCTGTGAGTGCCCCAGGGAGCTTTCTGCCTTCAGATAGTGTCTCGGACTGATCCCTGCGACTGCCAGCACACACATTTGCCTTTGGGCTTAGGAGGGTGCTTCCAGCTGGGAAGTCAGCCAGGGTATTTTCAGGTGAGAAAATTACTAACAAGCTTGCGGTGTTCCTTAAAGCCAGAGGCGAGTCCCTTATATTAAGAAAATGACAAAGGTCATGCTTTAGACTTGGAGCCAAGCTATTGTCCAAGCCTCGCTCCTCTGGAGCAAAGAGCCACATGCCTTGGTGACGTGCCAGAGCAGCACTTGGGTACTGATGGAGCCTGGCGTAGCCTGATGGTTCTTTGCTGGGGCCCTTTGGCTACTTAAAATATAAGTTTTAGAGGAGAGGGTGCATTTCTCCCTTGTGTATTACAGGAGAGCCCTGGTCTGGATCAGGACCACTAGAAGGCACTGACAAACATGTGATTCAGGATTCTAGACATGCCTGTGGACACCCACTGTGTTGTGAGCCATTGTCAGCCCTCAGGAGCTTTTGTCAGCTTTAAAAAAAAAAAAAAAAAAAAAGCCTTGCTATGCATGCATGGATTTCGAGCACCTAAGAGCAACCTCTCCATCTGGCTTTTCTTTCTTCACCTTGCAAGCAACTTGCATTATTTCTGGATGCAGCAGGCCTACCCTGCATTTATTTAATTTCCCTTCTCTAAACAGACAGAAGTAATCCAGGAAAGCAGTGGTCACAAAACCAAACATCCGGTTCCACATCTCCATGTTACAAACCCTTGCAGCCTAAGTGGTCCAGGGGAAGGGATGGTTGGGGCTGAAAGTGCATTTCCTGAATGTGTTTAACATACATACCGGATGTGCTATAAAAAGCTAGATTTGTGCTTGTGAGGGACATGGGGGTGGTTGAAGAATAACTTAAACACTTGGCTGTAATTAAAGCCAGGAGTACAAAACAACCCACCCAGTTCTCAGTGGGGTTTGCTAGAAAGGTCAGAAGCCCTTAGTTCCCAGGGATGTGAAGGTTTCCCAGCCTTCCCATTATTCCCATCCTGTCCCTGCTGTGACACCCAGCTAGGCAGTGGTCTGTCAGCAGTTGGTTTGTTGGAGGGGCTTGGGGTTGATACTGTGTTCCAGCTGTGTTTCTGTTGTGCTCTTGGGTTATGTTAGGCTCTCACTGATGCTGTCAGACGTATGAGATGTGATGAGGGGATCCACAGATCCCTTCTCATTTGTTGTCAGAAAAAATTGGTGGAAGGCTTCTGGCATTCAAAAAAAGCCCTCCATGCACCCTGGTAAGTTTGTCTGTGTGTTTTAGGGCTCATTGCCCATCCTTACCACTGTTCCAGGGACTTCTGGGGGCAGCAAGAGTAGCTCCTGGCATGACCTGATTGGAGAGGTCAGTCAGCTCTGTGGGCATCCTTGGTGTGCTAAGAGCTGCTTTCTGCCCCCTCCCCAGGCCAGGCAGGACCTGTGAGCTGGGTCCATCATCCTCTGCGCTAGTAATCCTATTTTGCAACTACCATTTCATATTCAGAGGATGTTAAAGCAAATGAAATCATCTGCGCAGCTTACTGCAGAATGATTGTGTGCATGTACTTGTGCATGTGTGATCTGAGACACAGCGGCACAGCGGGGGTTGAGCTACAGGCTGGGAAATACTTGCACAGACCCGAGCCCTTCAGCGGGAGCGGCTGCGATCTGCCCCTCGGTCCTTGACACTTGTCAAAGCGCAGCAGCATTGCTTAGGGAACAGTGCTGCCGTAGCAGTTCGGAAAATGAAAAAAATGTAGTTGGTGGATGTTAGTTGAGATTCTCCTCTAGGCAGTTGTTTCTACATGGCCTGAACAGGAGCCAGGAAGAAAAAGGGAGGTGTTTGACTGGCTTTGTTCTTGCCTTTGCTTATTACCAAAACCATTTGTAATTAAACACGGACTTGCTCATTCAGCCCAGCTGTTGCTTTTCTGTTTGATCCTGCCTGAAATTACAGTGGTGCATTTGTGACCTCCTAGGCCTTTTCATGCCTTCTAGGCTGGCATAAACACAGGGTAAAACTTGCCTTTGAAGCAAGCAGGCACCACTCCCACGGAGTTCAGGAGGTGCAGTGTTTTCTGACCCCCGGGGCTGAATTTAGTCTGCGACAGTTTGGACCTCAGTGCAAGACCCAGCAGGAAGAGATACTGCAAGAAAGCTCTGACCCAGAGACGCATACTTGCTCTGAACAAAGAAAGCAAGACAAACTAGCCTGTTCCATCATGGATGCTTTCTTCACCTAGTCTACAGTAGAGCAGTTCATGTGGACTGACCATTAAATGGTGTGAAAAGCTGAATTCAGGCCTTTGCTTTTAGAAGGGATTTACTCTGCTGCATGCTAATGTTGGAGTAGAGGGACTCCAGCAGGAAAACATCTGTCCATGGCTTCTCTCCCATCTTCAATGTGGAGGAGGTGGGACGGTGGCAGTCTTTGTGGGAGGGTATGGATGGTGGGGAGAATCTGGGAGCCTGTTTGCAGCATCCTGACCTGTGACTGTAATTTCTAAGCTAACCACCTCCTCCAGCCTGGCTACTCCTACGAGCTGCTTTGCATCCAAAGCTTTTTCTTGCAAAAGATGCTTTCTGTGTGAGTTGGCTGAAACTAATTGGATCCATTTGCTAGCATGACCAAAACTGGTTACTTGAGATCTTAAGTGGACACTGATGAGACAGGCACTGACTCACAGCTTCTGTAAACCTCAGGTGGTCTAGAGCAAGTGCTGTAGCACTCACATGCCTCCAGGGAGCAACTTCATTTCACACCAATCCCATGGGCTTTTTTTCTGCAGAAAGCAGGAATTTACAGTCCAATTTCAGCTAAGCATCAACTGCAAGTGGTTATTTAGCTAAAACTCTTGCACATTTTGCTTGTATGGGTTGAACAAGGATGCAAATAAAGCAAGTAATCAAGACCTTTGGGGGAGCTGGAAGTGTGGTTTTTTGCAGTAGTGACTTAAGCAATTGAATAGCTCTGTTCTTGCTAGCGATTTCAAGGCTCTCCTCCGCCTTCTCCTGCGCTTCCCTTACTGTGCTCCAGAGAGTGCTGTTCTCCCAGACGGAAAGATTCAGCCCCTTGCACCATAGCCAAATGT